CTGAAAACCGATAAAAACCCTGAAAACTATACATTTCACACCTGAGCCTCAACTCTCGCGGCCCGGTACCAAACGACTCATGGACCGAGCCCCAGGGTTGGGGACCGCTGATCTAGATGGCAACAGAGCATAAATTCACATCAAGCCAGAACCTCAAAGGTGTGAAACTGAAATATGGAAATACCTCCACAAATACTGACGGAGTTGCTGCAGGACAGGAATTTAACTGCAAAATGCACCAACACCACCACCAGGTGGTTTTTATCTTTCATTAATACATTCTTTTCTTCTTTTGCACATCTAATTTTTCCTCTCTGTAATTTTGAGTTTGAATGTGCAGCCCATGGGAAAAATAAGCGGACCCCTGTGTCTTAAATTAATATGCAAACCTCATTTTTTGAAGGATTAAAATTCGTGTGCTTCTGTGCTACACAGCAACTTCTTTTTTTCAGGTAATGCTCTTAACAGTGAGTCGGTGACATCAGTGTCACTGACTCACTGTTAAAGGCTGTTATTTACTTTAATATTCCAGTTTGATTAGGCAGATGTGTCGATGTGTGTTGAGTTGTTCACACATCAGTGTGGTGGGGATGCTGTACATCAGAACTTTCTCTCTCTGACTCATAGATCCCAGTTTGTTCATTTTGCCCCTGAAACTATTAAAGGTTAAATTCGTTTGTTTTCAAGTTGAGATTCTTATACTTACAGCGCTCGTTTCAAGCTAGCACCTCCTAAGATAAATCTTAAGGTTAAAAACTGCAACGATAAAGCGAGTTTGTGTTGGACAAATGGGTCCATAACAAAATGATTGTCGGTAGAGGAGTAAAGAGCCTTTGGGATGAACAGAAGCACTGATGGAGAGCGAGGCTCGACCTTCCTCGCTAATGTGTCTGAATGGGAAAAAATCCCCACAAACAAGTCTTCCCAGAAGGCTCAGAGAATCTGATTAACGCCTGCTGACGGAGCTAATGTGACTGTCCACATACTTTTGGCTCTGTGCATGTGACCGTGGTTGCTTTTGTTTTACTGGTGATAAACTAAATAAAGAAAATAATCTGACATCCGAGTCAGAGCTGCTTTTAAAAAACCTGGTTTGGATTGATCTGTGTAAAGAGCGCCCGTCCTTTTTTCTCTTTTCTCTCACACCTCAATACATTAGCCAGCTAATAAGCTGCACTACATCATCACCCGGCTCACTGTGGAGCAGTGAGATGGGCCCATTTGTCCTTGTCAGCAGTCTG